CCGAGGCGGCCCATGAGCGGCAGGTGCTTTGACCTAAAAGCTGCATACAGGCAACTGGGACTTAGTGAGAGTGCCCTAGATGCTTCGTACGTGGCCTTCCCCGACCCGCAGTCGGGCGAGCCAACGATTTACCAATCGCTAGCGCTGCCTTTCGGGGCAGCGCGTTCTGTGTATTCCTTCCTTAGAGTCTCTCACAGCATTTGGCACATAGGGTGCTCCCTTGGTTTCATGTGGGCAAACTACTATGATGATTTTCCAATCCTGTCCCCTGATGACGATGTGCACTCCTTAGAGAAATTTGTAGAAAGGCTATTTCGGTTACTAGGCTGGCGCTTCGCCGAGGAAGGCAGCAAGGCGGAAGGCTTTGGAAAAACCTTTGCATGTTTGGGTGTAGTTTTGAACCTGCACATTTCTGCAGCGGCCGAGTAGAAGTGGACAACACAGAAACCAGGAAGCGTGAACTACAAGGAACCTTGAAAGATCATGCTGAGGCGGGTCGGATGTCGACCAGCGCTGCTCAGAAACTTAGGGGGCGCATGCAGTTTGCTGACAATCAGATTTTCGGTAGGGCGAGCCGCTTGTGTTTACAAGCAGTCACCGAGCACATAGTGAGTGGTCAGGACGAGCTCACTGCAGATTGCAAAGCTGCTATGCTTATGTATGCAAACATCCTTGAAGTGTGCAAGCCTCGCATCCTCGCGAGGCCCTGCGGAAAGCCAGTGTATCTCTTCACAGATGCATCATTCGAGCGGGGCAGTGACAAACCGAGCTGTGGCATAGGAGGGATTTTGTATGACAGCGAAGGGAGAGTGCTGAAGTTCTTTTCGCACTTCTTGAGTGTGCCCCTTATGAAAAGGTTAGGCCTTGAAGAGAAAAAGACCATCATATTTGAGGCGGAATTACTTGCGTACATAGTGTCGTTGGTAGCCTGGAAAGACGATCTCAGGAACAGGCCGATCGTTGCCTGTATAGACAACAACAGCGTAAGAGACCTATGCATTTCAGGCCGCGGGAGAAATGCTTTTGCCAAAGCCCAAACTGCCTTGTTCCTCACGCTGGAAGACTTGATAAGTGCCAATGTATGGGTGGCGCGTGTGCCAAGCCCATCCAATCCCGCCGATGTCCTTTCGCGAAAGGAGTTAAGGACGCTAAGTGTTGACAGCCGAAAAATCCGGTCTTCGGATATAGAAAATTCCCTTAATGAAATCTTGGGGTAACGGTTAAGTTGGGGTTTAGGCCCTGCCGCATTTAGGCTAAGAAGTTGTCGCTACCGTATGGTGGTGCTCAATCAAGTTCGCCACTGCCGAATGGCGGTGCTCGGACGACGAGGTGTGGACTCCCAGCGTCACCAGAGAAAAGAGTGAGGCTCGCCTTTGCAGTTATGCTCAGTGCTACGCTTGCTTGTTGTTGGCGCTTCAGTTGAACAAATCAGTTAACAGCTCAGAAACAACATAGAAAGAATTTTAAGCTTGCGGTCAACTTGTTGATAGCGTTTTAAAATTCTTTCTTTGAAGAAACTCGGGGGAGTTTCGTTTCTGCATGCTCTTGGTCTTGTGCAATGAGCCGCATCGCAGTGCGAGCCACAGAGGCTCAAAAAGAAAAATTTTCCCACCCACCCACCCAGCTCACGATTCCCAGCTGCAGCCCGCCGGTGTGCTGTGCAGTGTTAATGACACAGACTCTTGAAAGCATTCTTGAGACCAGCAGCTTCTTCAAGCTGCCTGCCAGTAGGCTGTGCCGCCGCGTGGGGTTTAGGCCCTGCCGCATTTAGGCTAAGAAGTTGTCGCTACCGTATCCCAGTATCTGGAAAGCAGACAGAAAGAAAGACCGTGGAGAAAGTGTTGAAGTGGGTGCACAGTCTTGGACATTTGGACGAACTAGGATTCGTTGGAGATTCGGAAGAAGCAATGTTGTCTCTGGTAGCTGCTATCGTGGAAACTCGGAGGAAGATGAACCGGAAGACTCATGATCAGAACAACAAGCCGTATCAGAAAGGAAGGACGGCCAGAGTTGAGAGGTTTATCCAGACAGTGAGGAATCAAACGGTGTGCTTAGTCCGGGCGGCGGAAAGAAAGCTTGGTATAGAGATTCCCGAAGGCCATTCGGTGTGGGCCTGGGGACTATGCCATGCGTCGTGGTTGCTGAACAGGTACCACAGACACGCCGCGATAGGTTCAACACCCTACGAAAGCGTAGTTGGTAGACCTTACCTCGGAAAGATAGCCCCATTTGGAGAGTATGTGTATGCTCTGAAGAAACCCGAGAAGAAAGGAACAGCGAACTGGATTGGAGGAATCTATCTAGGTAAGAACTCCCAGGATATGCACTTGGTAGGAGTTGAAGACGGAGTCTTGGCAACTGGATCGGTAAGACGTATTGCCACTGGATGGAGAAAGGAACCAGTATTGAAGTTGAGCGTAACTCCATGGAACCCCAAGAAGCCAAAAGGAGCATATGTGAAGCAACCGTTACCAGCCCCAGCATTGGCAAGTATCACGGAAGAAGGAACGGCCCAGGAACCAGTAGTTCGAGAAGAGGACCGAGGACAGTCCCAGGAAGAACAAGTAGAGGAATTGCTGGACATGTTGGACACAAGTGGAGCCTCTAGCGGAGGCAGGGCCAGTGGAGAGTCTAGTTCTCATTCTCGGAGTTCTAGCTCGATGCAAGATGTACCTTCTGGAGAAGCTGGACAAGGAGGACTCGTTAGCGACGATACCATGCTGGAAGATCTGAGGAAGCGATCAGTAGAAGGAGGACAAGAAGTGGAAGGATCGCCGAAGAAATCCCGCGAAACACCGTCAGCACCATCGTCACCCTCAAAAGGAATCTACCCGCCATTGTTCGCAGGCAGGGTATCTCAGGAAGAAGACCCATTTCATTGGGATGAACATGAAGACCTCACGGCAGTAGAAGGAGAAGACGTGGAGTATGAGGATCTCATGGAAGAAGAAATGGAAGAAGTTCCCAAGAATGACCAAGGAGAGACACCACCGGGATTGAGTCCGGAAGAATTGGATGTTTTGGATCAGGAAGCTGCCGTAGAAGAACTGAACCGCCTCAGTAAACTAGGAGTGATCGAGGAATTCATGGAGGCGAATGCAACAGGGGACGAGAAGCGCATGGACTTGCGCGAGGTGTATGATTGGCGACACAGAGATGGAAGATGGAAAAGGCGGTGTCGCATAGTGGCCAGGGAGTACAGAGCAGGCGCGTCGTCGACTGCTGAAACATTCAGCCCAACGGCGAGTAACGCCGCGTCGCGGCTAGTGTTGTTGTTACACCTGGTGTATAAGTGGGTCGTAGTAGTACTCGATATAAAGGACGCGTACCTTCAGGTCCCGCAGCAAGAAGAGGTGCTCATCACGATCAGTGATTGGATGAAACGAGCCGCCAACCTGAAGGAAGGAGTACTGTGGAGGTTAAAGAGATGCCTCCCGGGTCAGAGAAACGCAGCAACAAGATGGTATGAACACTTGCGAAGTATACTGGAGAAACTAGTCTAGTGTCTGCGTGCGGATACTTCTGTCTGTTGTGTGGGGCGTAGGCACGTAGCGAACCCTGAACTGTATGTTTCACCTCGCGGTAGCTCGAGAAAACATTTCTTCAATTTGTCGTCACACAGTTTGAGATATTTCATTTGTGTTTCGACCTTTTCAATTTACATGCTTTGCACTTTCATGCATGCATGGAATTGTGTGAAGCGACTACATCCGAAGTCGGGCATCAAGCAGCGGCTTTATCATGCCGAGAGCCTTGAGGCTTTTGCTCTGAGAAATTATAGACGCACTCTTCATTTGGTATTGCAGGGCAAGTTCACTCGCCGCTTTGCTGCTTCTTTGCGCCGTCAGCGTGATGCCTAATTGCTTTTGTGCCCCGAGAATGAGCTGGTCGCCTCTTGCAGCCGTGGATCGTGATGGTTTCCTTCGGTGGCCTCCTGGTTTCTTCCGACGGATCTCCTGAGGCTTCGGCCATAGTCTTTGTGGGCGTGCTGGATCCTCGAAGGTGCTAGCACTTCAGTTCTGTAGGCCCCAGTGTTTCAGATCACCGCTGATCAGCGAGCTTCAAAACAAATCCGTGCTTGCGTGAGTTCTTCCCGCATGCAGCGAGTTCACTTCATGCCCCCCGAGTGCTCGACTTGGCTCTGGGAGTCGCGAAACAATCAGGCAAGAGTCGTCTTAGCTTCGCGCGGATGCCTTGTTCTGCTTGCAGCCCCTAGCCCGACCCCTTGTGGCATGCGAATTCTATCTTGCCCGTGCCGGCCTTCGGCTGAGACGCGGAGTCGGGGTAGATTTCTCACACTCATGTCACGTCACGCTCATGTTGTCAAGAAGTATCCTGCTTTCTGTAGAACTGCGCTGTCCTTTTGCGATCAGCCTCCGATGGATGTGCCGCGGCCTCGGGCTGATTCCAGCCTTCGGGGATCTTCATATGACTCCATTTCGACTTCCGGTTCGGGTTCTTCTTTGCCGACTGACAGCTCTGGGGATCCGACTGCCTTTGTCATTGTGCGAGTGCGCCCCTACTTCTTCCACATTGTCCGGTTGCGACGCTTTGCAGCCTGCCGTCGGCCTTTCTGGAATGCTATCGCGCGAGGACATCTGGTCTCCTTCACTGCCAGCTACCGCTTCGCTTGGGCCCTTGTGTACCTGGACATGCAGGCCTGGATTGCACTGCTGGCAGCCGCGCGTACTACTCATGTTCGCTTGAGGCGCTTCTTTAGGCTCTACCCGTAGCAGCCGGATGCCCCTGCGTTTCCCGGTTCCCCCTGGTTCTTTGTGGTTTAGGCCTTCCCCGAGTTTCTTTCCTCTGCGCAGTCCTCTTGACTGTATGCGGGGGACAGGAGAGGCCAAGAAGGACCGCGGATGTTGCGGCAAGTCAGTGATGTAAAATAAGGTCGTCCCGATTGATCCTTGTGCTCTCCATGTTGAGACATGTTGCGATGACTCCGATTGATGCCTACTGCAACTGATACAGGTCAGCAGTTTTGTCCGAGCACAGCCATGTTTGGTAGACCCGATGCGTCACAGGGCTTTGGCCATGACGAGGAACCGTTCGATCAGGACGACTCCGATCGCAAGGACCATGTGAGCTCACCTTGGAACTCTGACTTTGGTGTGGGGTCTAATTTTGGAGAGGGTGAGAGAGATGAGTCATGGTCGCATGTGGAGCCGGTGGCATCAGATGAGGCTCGTTGGTATCAGGATGCAAGGGTCGACGATTCGGCTGAGCCGTGCCAGCCGAGTGCGAGCAAGTGTAGGAGGACCGCTTGGAAAGATCCTGCACCCGTGCACCCGGCAGTGGCACAGGCTCTCTTTGAGGAGAAGAGGAAGTCTTCGATCAGACTCCCTTGGGAGTCGGGTTTTGGCAAATCAATTTTTGGGAGCATCGGGAATCCGCTCGTGGCCATCCCATTCCATCTCCCCACGATTGGGCGATCAGACATGTTTGCTCAGATTGCGGTGTCTTCGTCTTCAGGTTCTTATCCAACTTGGTACAAAGAAAACCCCTTTAGAGCCAGACGACTTTTCGCCACGAGGATGGCGAGATCGGAGGATCAGCTTCGTTCGGCTGCGCTGGCCCGGATTAAGGAGATCGTCCTGTACGATCCCAATGACTCTAAGCTGGGGCGGTCATTGTTGGAGACCAGTGGAATGCTTGTTCCTGAACACCAACTTGCCATGACCTTCATGGATGCCTTTGCCAGGAAGTCTACGAGTACTTTCCAAGAGGTCATGTGATTACTTGAGGTTCTCCCGCTGGCAGGTCCAGGACAATCATGCTAGACCTTTGAATGCTGTTGAGAATGACCTGTACCTCTATGTTTGTTATCTGCGAGACGCTGAGTGTGCTCCCACGGCGCCCGCTGCATTCATTTCGTCATGGAGGTTCTTTCACTACATGACCGGCAGCAACGCTGTCCCTGACATCATTTCGCAGCGAATTGAGGGTGCCGCGCACTCCTGCTATCTCAAGAAGGCTCCATTGAGACAGGCGCCGCCTCTGAAAGTTCCCATTGTCATGAGAATGGAGGTGATTGTCTTCGAGGGGTCGGACTTACACGCTACCATAGCGGGGTTCGCACTGTTCTGCTTGTTCTCGGTTGCCCGATGGTCCGATGCGGCCAAGGCTACCGATCTCACCATCGAGAGCCACGGAGCTGTGTGTCTTGTGGAGGCTGTTATGTTGGGTCACAAAACAGCCAAGCTTGCAGACGATCGGGCCACTTTCATGCCCCTCATTGCCCTTGGGCACACCTTCTCTTCGGAGCCGTGGGCCTCAGCATGGATGTCAGCGCGAACCCGATCAGGAGTTGACGCCAAAAACATCCTTATGCCAGCGTGGTCGGAGCAAGCCGAGATGTGGTTGGATAGGCCCATGACTTCAGCGGAAGGGTGTGCGTGGCTTCAAGAGATTCTCGCAGTCGATGCCGATGAGTCTTGGAACCTCGACAGAGTCACGACCCATGCCTTGAAATCCACTCCGTTGTCATGGGCCACAAAGAGCGGTCGATTTGATAAGCATGAAAAGCGCATTCTGGGGCACCACTCCGCCCCCGACGAGCGAATGATCATCACATACGGGAGAGACGTGATGGCCCCAGTCTTGTCGAAGCTCCAGCATCTGATTGACCTAATCCGTACGGACAGGTTTGATCCAGACCTGTCCCGGTCTGAAAGGATGGCGAACCTTGTGGAACGATTCCACGATGAGGATCGTCGGGTCGAAGACCTGAAAAGGTTTGATGATTCTGAACAGTCAGATGTGTCATTTGCAGACCACGTCGGCATCGATGAGCGCCCCAGCCTGGTGCCAGGGATGTCTGATCGCCCTGAGCCGCCAGAGACGGGCACCTTCGTCCGACATCGGATCTCATCCATTGTGCACGCTGTCATGGTCCCAGCCTCACTGTTGAGATGCGGGAGACCCTTGAACAGCAACTATGATGCGTGCAATTTCGACCCCCAGCAGCCGCGCGAGGACATCTTCTGCGAACAGTGCAGATTGGCGCGAGTCCTGGGGGATTAGACACGGAAAGGTCGAGCAGAGACGCAAACATCGATGCAGCGCATCTGTGTTTTAGCCATGCTTGCTGCCTCCGTCGTGAGCCTTCGCCTGGAGTGACACGTTTTTGTTCAAGCCTGATCCTCGGACGGACGCCATGACTTCCACTCTGCTTGAGTCGGAAGCCGAGTTCTTGGCCAGAGCCCGAGAAATCGGTATGGATGATGGTTTCGTCAAGTCGCTTCAGGCCGCAGGGATCAAAACCTTTGGAAAGCTGGCGTACATCTGTGCTGTCAGCCCGCAGAGTGGCGATGACACCCCTCTCATTCAGGCGGTACAGAAGCTCTTGTCTCGTGACCTCACCCCGGGCGAGCTTCCTGATCTTCGACGATTGTGGTTCGAGGCCAACACGTTTGCCTTGTCTGATCTCAAGTCACGGGTGGAACGTTCTTCTCTTGACCCGCCTCGAGAGCTTCCTTTGGCCGAGCGCTTGACTCGCCTACAGAATCAAAAGGCTCGGCTAACCGGGATAGTGTTCACCGAACGGGTGGAACCGGCGCACAGCCTCATCGACAAAATCCAATCCATGGTCGATTCCGGGACGCTCACCTACCTACCGCCGCATAAGTGCCCATCAAGAGCGTTGGAAATTTCCAGCGACAAACCTTCTCAACAAGTTACACTTGATGCTCAAGGTGGCTTGAAGATATCGAAGAAACACTCCGACCTGGAATGCGACGTTCGAGGAGAACTTCGGCTTCGAGAGGCCTTCACCCGACGGGCGCTGGCCTTCGACCAAATTGGCCTCATGTCATTTGCTGCCCAGGAGGCGTGGCACACTTACCTGTTTGACTCAGTGACTCGTGACCCGCCACCGGGTCATAGGTCCACCAGCATTGCCCAGGCTCTGAACGCTGACCGCGAGCTGTGGCAGATTCTTGCTCAGGAAAGTCGTGGCTCATCGGGGGCGTCAAACCCCCCCTGGATGTCTTCATCGAGCGCCTGCAGACCCATACTCGTGTCAATGTTTGCTTGGCCAACCTTCCGCAGGCCACCGGTGGAGGCAAAGGCGACAAGGGCGATCGCGGTGGCAAGGCCGATGGCAAAGGTGACCGCGAAGGCAAAGGCCGTGGTGGTCGCGGCAAAGGTCGTGGCGACAAAGGCGGTCAGAAGCGCGAGTGGGATGATGCTCAGGTGGACCCCAAGCGTGCCGAGATCCGGCAGCTGCTGAAGGAGATGCCTAAGGACTGTGTCTCGCGCATGCCCAAGACTCGCCAGTTCTTATGCGTGTTGGACCAGCCAGTGGACTCCAAGTCAAAGATTCCTGCTCTTGCAGGGAGAGGCAAGAAAGCCGCGTGTCATTGACAACTTGAGGGACTCGGGCGTCAATGCATCGTTCGGGTCCACATCCCTGCTGCAGCTTCACGACCTGGATTTCGTCGCCTCCATGGCTCTCTTCGTAGCGAGGGTTTGGAGCGACAAGGAGAAGGTGCGTGTTTCCCTTCAATCGGGTGAGGTCCTCGAAGGCGAGTGGCACCCTAAGAGCAGAGATGCGCATTGGGTTGGGAGATGTCTTGACCTCTCTAAAGCCTACAAGCAAGTGCCGGTGGCTACATGTTCGCTGAAATACGCTGTCATTGCCATGCCATCACGAGAATCAAAATGGACCTTTTACCTGGCCCGAGGTCTACCATTTGGTGGGTCAGGTTCGGTTTTCTCCTTCAACAAGATTTCCCGTGCATTGTGGCACATAGCAGTGGTGAAGCTGGGACTTGTCACCTCGGTCTATGTGGACGATTACCCGACCTTCGAGATTGTTCCATTGGCCGCTAACGCTTCGGATTCGTTTTCCCGGCTGCTCAACGCTTTGGGGTGGATTCACGCCACCACCGGGAAGAAGGCTGTGGATTTCGCGAGCCAGTGGGTTGCCTTGGGGGCGGAGTTCGACTTCTCCAGTCTTCACCAAGGATCTCTTGAGGTTAGAAACAAAGAAGGCAGGGTTGACCGCATCAAGTCGATTGCCCAGCAACTGACCAAGCAGGATTCCAACGTTAAGCAGCTTGCCACTTCGCTTCATGGACTCTTGAACTTCGCCAGTGGTTTCGTCCTGGGCTCCGCTCTGAAGCCTATTGCGAGGGAGTACTCGAAGTTGGCTGCGAGGCCGGCAACGTTTTCTTCGGAGGCCATTGTTCGCCTCAACGACATGCTTTGCTCAGTTTTCTGTGCGATGAAGCCCAGGACTTTGCGAGTGACCGATCCTCGTGAACCTGTGATCGTGTACACTGACGGCTCTCTTGAAGGCGATCAGGCTCTTTGGGGAGTCTTCTTATGTGACCTTGAGACGCAGGAGAGGTTCGCACTGTCTGGATGCATCCCTGAAGACATCCGGCAACATTGGCTTTTGACCGTTGGGGAGCAGATCATATGCGAGATAGAGCTCTTCGCTGTCTTGTGCGCTAGATGGCATTTCGGAAAGCGGTTATGCGCTCGAAAAGGCTTCGTCTTTGTGGACAACAACTCCGCCTTGGCCACGCTCATCAAGAGATCGAGCCAGTCAGAGGCCATTTTTAGGATTATGGCAGTGATCAACGCGATGGATGCAGTTCTTCCGTTCGGTGCTTGGTACGACAGGGTGCCATCGAAATCGAACCCGGCCGATCTGCCCTCCAGGGGCGAATCGAAGAAGTTATGCGAATCCTTCAGTGCAGTTGACCAGGGAGGTGTGTCATTCCCTGATGAGCTCTTGCGATTCATCAAGGACCCATGTTTCTCCTTTGCTGCTCTCGATGATCTGATGAAGGTGTATGCTCAGCATCACAGTTGACGGGGGAAATGGTGTGATGCCTTCGGGTGTGGATGAGTCGGAGAGTGTTGCCTCTGCCATCCATCGATTTGCCCCCGACGTCCAAGATCCGAGCAGTGCGAGGGAGGTGTGAAAAACATGTGCGATCCTTTGGTGAGCAGTTGCGGAATTATATCTTGCAATATATTCCGATTGAGATTTCCATCGAGATTTTATTACTTATATGTTTCGATGAGATTCCAACGGAATACCGTTCAAATATCTTTCAAATGATTTTAACAGTTCTGGGACCACACGACAGACGTCTAGTGTCTGCGTGCGGATACTTCTGTCTGTTGTGTGGGGCGTAGGCACGTAGCGAACCCTGAACTGTATGTTTCACCTCGCGGTAGCTCGAGAAAACATTTCTTCAATTTGTCGTCACACAGTTTGAGATATTTCATTTGTGTTTCGACCTTTTCAATTTACATGCTTTGCACTTTCATGCACGCATGGAATTGTGTGAAGCGACTACATCCGAAGTCGGGCATCAAGCTTGAATTTTTAGCCCACCCGCCCTACCCTGGGGGGAAATGGTGTGATGCCTTCGGGTGTGGATGAGTCGGAGAGTGTTGCCTCTGCCATCCATCGATTTACCCCCGACGTCCAAGATCCGAGCAGTGCGAGGGAGGTGTGAAAAACATGTGCGATCCTTTGGTGAGCAGTTGCGGAATTATATCTTGCAATATATTCCGATTGAGATTTCCATCGAGATTTTATTACTTATATGTTTCGATGAGATTCCAACGGAATACCGTTCAAATATCTTTCAAATGATTTTAACAGTTCTGGGACCACACGACAGACGGATTTGTATTCTCAGTACATGTACCTGCATTGGCAAGACACGCCACAAGGAAGCTGTGTATCTCTATCCATGTAGACGACGAGTTGCTAGCCGGAGAAAGAGAGGAAACAATTTGGCTAGTGGAAGAACTGGAGAAAATTTTCAAAGTCGAGAAAGAAGGACCCTATCCAGCGAACGGAGTAGGAAATGGAGAAGAGATGCGGTATCTCAAGAGGAAGTATGTATTCATTCAGGAAGGAATCGTTGTCCAACCGAACGAGAAATACGTCCGGAAGTTGATTGAGCTGTATGATCTCGGACGATTGAAGAGTAAGGCCACGCCGGAACATGTGGATTTGGTGAAGGAGGACCGGAGTAAGGAATTGAATGCTGAAGAGACAAAACGGTTTAGATCTGGACTCGGATCGATTTTGTACCTTGCACAGGACAGAATTGACATTCAGTATGCCTCAAAGTGCTTGGCATCAAGTATGTCGAAGCCGACGGTGCAGGCACTAAAGTGTCTGAAGCATGTGATTCTGTATCTGAGTGGAACAGCCACAAGAGCTACTCTTTTACCGTATACCGAAATCGGAAGCCGGTTGATCACCAAGTTGAATGGCCAAGAGGATGAAGAAATTGCCCCGGATTCAGGACATGTAGTGGAAGCGTATTCGGATAGTGATTGGGCAAGCTTGAAGACACCTGAAAGAGCACGAAGGAAGAGTACGTCATCAGGGATTGTCGTACTAAACGGAGTGCAGGTGTTATCGTTCTCAAGAACACAGAAGGCAACCTCATCTTCAAGCTGCGAAGCAGAACTTTATGCGCTGAGTGGAACATGTGGAGAAGCTATCCTAGTCGGAAGGCTATTCGAGTTCCTTGTAGGAGAGCGCGTGAATGTGGAGATACGGTGCGATTCATCGTCTGCACGGCAGTGGAGTCAACGAAGAGGAGTTGGACGCCTGAAGCATGTGGACGTAAGGCTGTGTCAACTACAAGACTGGGTGAGAGAAAGTCTTGTAAAACTTGGTACTGTAAGGACCCAGCTTAATGTAGCGGACCTGAACACCAAGAAGTTGTCGTATGCCCGGAGAGCATTCCTACTGTATCACCTGTCACAGGTAGAGTATGATGAGGAAGGAAGCCTAACGTATACCGGAGAGGACGAGTATGAAAAGCACGAACAGGAAAAGAAGTTGAAGGCGTATGTCGGAAGTGGACAAATCAAGAACCTCATAAGAGCAATTCAAGTATTTCATCTCATGAAGCCGATTACCGCAGCATTGCTCAAGGAGGACGTAGCGGACGCCCCGGTAGAATCCTGTGGAGCCTTGGACAAAGGTACGAACGCCATGGAAGGAAGCTTCACGAAGTTTGAAGTTGGAATGATGGTATGCGTATTTTTGCTTGCAGTACCGTACTTGATCTCTGTATGGACGAAGCTCACAAGAGTCCTGGAGAACCTATGTGGCATTGGACGCGTTAAAATCAGTACGGGAAGCCGAGCACGAGTATACCACCGTGGAACGTGTTGGCACGTTCAAGGGTCACACAAGAAGCCAGGCCGGTGGGTCTGGAAGGACATGCAGGAGGCGGAACAAGAAGGATTTCGAGCATGTTGGAGTTGTTTCCCGGAGACAAGACCGGAGTCAAGTTCCCACAAGCGTAAAGGCAAGCCAGTACAAAGAGAAGAAGACAGTGATTGGGAGCTAATGGATGAGCTCGAAGTTCAAAATACTGGAGGATGCGGAAAACTGTGTTACTGGTGTGGAACCCGTAAATGTTCGAGAGAAAAGGAGAGTCACACGACTTGCGCATGCTCGCCTTGCATCGCAGGTTACGCCAGTGCGAGATGGAGAGAAACGTATGACAGGAACAAGACCTCGGACAAGGTTGAGGACCAGACGTGGGAAGAAGAAGAAGCCAGTGGTTCCGGAGAAACGGTGAAGATGCATGAATGGAATACCGGAGACCAAAGGAACAAGATTGGAAGAGGATATGGCAAAGGATTGAGAAAGCGCGGAAAGGCCGCCATGGAGATTATCCACACGGATGGAGTTCGGATGCCTATCATCAGTGAAGAGGACTATCGACGCGGTGGAAGGATTACGTCCGGAATTGCAGCAGAAGAAGCTGAGAAGGAAAAGGAGCCGGAGATGATTGAGTACCGTGGACGGACGATGACGGTTCAGGAAATGGGAGACATGGCTATGCCACAAGAGTGTCAAGATTCGTATGAAGCGTATTGCGAACGCATGGAGACGGAAGAAAGGATTCAGGATGATCTGTTTGACAACACGGATCGAAGTGTACCTGTAGTAACGGACCCGGGTACGCCAGACAGCACAGAAGCACGTACCCAATCGTAAGCCCTACGCGGAGACCGACGAGGTAACGCAGGAGTGAGTGTAGGCTGAAAAAGTTTCACCCGGGACCAAAACAGCAGCAGCGCTAAAAGAAGGAAGAGCGCTGGAGTGAAGGTTTTAGTTTCACTTGGACGAAGTACTTGTTACTGTACTGGATTGGAAAAGCGAAGTGGTCTGACACACCTCCTTAATTGGGGGACGGTCAAAAGGTGGGTTGCATGGATTGTTTAACCCAATGATTGCAACGGCCAAGCCTATGCAGTCAAGGGCGGAGGTATGCCCGACCGCAGACCAGGAGTCGAAGTACAGCACAAGGACTTCGAGGCAGGGTGTTAAATCTTGTACATGGAAATGCCCCACGCCTTTGGTGAGCCCTAGGCTACGGTATATCACTTGTATAGTTGTGAAGTTGACCGTACGCAGCGCCTTTGGCTTAAGCAGAAAAAGCGTGACCGCTTAGAGTCTTACAGTTGAACTGAAAGGCAAGGACAATGGCAAGGGTGGAAAGCCCTCTGGGAACGGTGGTGGCAAAGGCGGCGAGCCGACGGGCAAGGGCAAAGGAGGCAAGAAGGGCGACAAGGGCAAAGACAAAGGGAAGCCAAAGGCGAAGCCGAAGGCGAAGTCCAAGGGACGAGCGCTTGAGGAAGAACAGCCTGAGCAAGTGATGGCCTTGAGATTTATTTCATCGTCTCAGAGGCATGCGCCCAGGGAGGCGATCAAGAACAATGAGCCCAATGATGCTGAGCCCCCACGTCTCAAGCTGAACCAGTCCTCTTCGAGGAATAGTCACTTTGCGTGGCTTGTTGATAGTGGAGCCACGTGCCACGTGTTGTCTGCTGCTTCTCAGGGTTCTACGAAGTCGTTAAGCCGTTAAGGAGCATTCGGGACCCCTGCCTGTCTTGATGAGCGCCAGTGACACCGAGATGGAATGCCTCGGTTTGGTCGATATTCGAGTGAAGTTCGGGAAGCTAGGGCCTGTAGTGCTTCAGCAGGTCCTTGTGTGTAGGATCGGTTTCAATGTGATCAGTTCTTGGCAAGCGTCGCGTTCGGGTTGGTGTTCTTGGTTCACCGCCGAGCCTGGAGAGAGTTGCTTGATGAAGTACTCTGGGAAGGGTTCCTGGATTTGGGTGCCCTTAGAGACGGAAGCCAGGAGCTGGTGGGCAATGGCCCAGGAGATCGGCCCCGCACGAGCTAAGGCGAAAGCGAAGTCCAAGGCAGGAGTGCCCAAAGGTACCCCACCGAAGTTTGGGAAAGAAGACGACGACACGGGAGATGCGATGGAAGTGGACCGCGCCAAGGAGAAGGCGCCTCCGAGCAAGCATCCCCAGCGAGCTTTGGAAGTGACTCCTTTCAAGTTTTTGCTGAGGGCTGTGAGCAGTGATTTTGATTGCGAGTGTTTTTGCGAAGCAGAGGTAGGAGCCGAGACTGAGGTAGTGCCTGCACTGTGTTCTGAAGAGTGTTGTGAGGGTTTTGCGGTAGGTCCTGAAGTCTGTGTTTCGACCGCAGCCGTTTTGCTTTTAAGCAAACAAGCACCGCACACACCCAAGCGAGCGGTAGGAGTGAGGGTTTGTGTGTGAGTGTAGGGTCTGTGCCGCCAACGCCTCAGAGTGAAGTGCCTGTGGGTGCCTGTGTTTCGGAAGCCGCTGCTAGGAGTGAGTGTGCACTTGTGTTGGAAGCCTCTGGTAGGAGTGAGTGTGCACTTGTGTTGGAAGCCTCTGGTAGGAGTGAGGGTGCACTTGTGTCGGAAGCCTCTGGTAGGAGTGGTCTTGCGCTAGGAAGTAGGACTCAGAAGAGGTTGCGTGCAAAGGTCTATGCCACCGG